GGCTCTCCGCAACCCAGCCCGTGGTATTTACTGGCTCTATTTGGTTCCCTGTGCTCGGGGCTCGGAGTCAGCACTGGGGGTGCTCCCAGCACGAGGTAGAAATGGGCTGGCAGGTGGGGCACCTCAACCCTGGGCCTGGGGGCAGAGGGCATGGGCAGAGCTGCGGTGATTTCAGGGACACCCCAACACCAGAGGACCATGTGGGCACCATGGCTCAGCTGGTCAGAGCGCCTGTCTAGTAAACAGGAGATCCTGGGTTCGACTCCCAGTGGTGCCTGCGCCTGAGTGGTTATTTTTCCCTCCCTGTCCCAAACTGGGGGCACTCTGGGGGGCTTTGCCCTGCCCTGAGCACTGGTGATCCCCACCCTCTGTCCCAGGCGACCTCACTCCGGGGGTGAGAAGTTGCCTTCTGCTTCCTCTCCCTTGGAAGCTCCCAGTGCAGAGAGAGCCCAAACTGTCTCCAGAACCCCGGGAGTTCAGGAAATAAAACAGGTACATTCCATTGTGCCTGCACCCTCACCGCCTTCCCTGTTCTTTTGCACAACTGGTGCTGAATCCCGTAGGAAAACCCTCTGGAGAGACGCTGGGTGAGTGATGGAGGCGACAGGTGCACACGCTTTTGTGGCCAAAATAAACGCCGCGTTGCCCCTCTGAACGCAGAAGGGAACGTGGAGAGGGGCAAACGGGTCCCAAACAGCTGCTCGCTTCCCTGCCCTGCTGTGACCGGGGCTGCCAGGGCTGTGTCCCCCTCCCCCAGGGGACACCCTGGAGGAGGAGCAGCCGCAGCTTTGGAGTCTGGGGAGGGGGTCAAAAAAAAAGGGGGAAAAAAAAAGCTGCCCAAAGCGGCGGGTGCGAGAGACGAGGTGGCCGAGTGGTTAAGGCGATGGACTGCTAATCCATTGTGCTCTGCACGCGTGGGTTCGAATCCCACCCTCGTCGCGTCTCTCCGAACCGCCCCACGCTTGCGGGAGTTTTTGGTGCGGTGCCCTTTCTGCGTTTTGCTCTGCAAAACGTGCTGGCAGCTCCCTCCTGTGTCCGCAGCGGTGCTCGCACCGGGGATTCCTGCAGAGAGAAGAGGCTGAGCTGTGGCAAGATGAAGAGGGAAAAGGATTAAAGCCACCTCTGGGATCCCGGAGGTCTTGCAGAGAAGGAAGCCCCGCACCTGGCAGAGCGGGCTTTGCTGCCACCACATTTCCCTCCCGTGCCTCGGGGAGATGTGGGGACCAGCAGGGAGCTGCTTCCCCTCCAGCAGCTTCTCCCAAGCCAGAAAGCAGGATCAGGCAGCAAGGAAACACCGGGCCCATCCCGTTCTGCTGCCGGGAGACGCCGTGGTGCTCGGCCAGCTCTGCCACCCTGGGGAAAAGAGGGATCTCCTTGCCTGGACAGGCAGGTGCCTTGAAAGGGGAATGTGGGAGATTTGCTAGGGAAAAGGCATGGGTTGGGGTGCAGCCCTGGGGAAGGACCAGCTTGCAGCTGGAGGTGGTGAAATGGGCCAGGGTGGTGGGTGCAGGCACGGCACGGGGGTTGCTGTCACAGGAAGGGACCCGGAGCATCAGCCCACCCAGGGATCCAGCAATTACAGGGATGGTGTGGCGGCACAAAACCGGCTCATCTGCAGCCCCAGGACACAGCCTGGCAGCCAGAGCCTGGCTCTCCCCGCTGGCACCGGCTGGGCTCTGCTCCCTGGGCTGCACAGGGTGGCCCTGGAGCACCCCGAGGCTGCCCTGAGAAGGACACAGGCGGCCAGGACGCTCTGTGCCTGGCTCTGTCTGGCTCAGGATGCTGCCTCCTGGCACTGGGGTGTCCCACTCGTCCATCAGCCATCTGGGAGTGGTCCCTGCACGTCCTGCTGCCAGGGGTGAGCGCCCCGGATGCAGATGCTCCTTGGAGATAGGATGCAGCAGGTCTGTTGCTACTCCAAAATGTGCCCTTGTCTGTGGCTTTCAGGAGAAATTTTGGTGCAGGGGCAAGCTCCCGCCCTCCATCCAGCCTCACAGACACCCAGCCCTCGGGTGGCTGGAAATCAAAATGCAAAGAGGGCAAACTGGAGTTGCAAAGGGATGCTGGGTGATGGTGATGGTGATGGTGATGGAAAGGAAACACGGGGATTATTACTGGTCCTGGGTCATGCTTCTTACCTTAAAGTGTCCTCGCCTGCAGGGAGAGGCAGGGCTGAGGTGGCCACACATCCTGAATCCATGCAGATGGTAAGAAAATGGGTCTGAGGTGTTTGGTTTGGTGACATTTTCTCAGGTTTGAGGTTCCTCCAGAGAAAGCCACACCTCGAGCAGAAAGTGCTCATTCTCTGAAATGAATAGGGGTTGGAAAAAACCAGTCCTAGTTTATCTCCCAAACATCTGCTCTTTTCCCTGTGGTTTTCCTTGCTTTTCAGTCTCATTCTCCACACAAATCTGATTATTTATAAATTCCTGACACGTGCCTTGTTTCCCCTGTCCCCTTTTCCAGGAAAAGGACTTTGTTTCAGTCCATGGATCTGCTCACATTCAACACCACATTCCCTCTCCAAGTGCCACATAGCATTTATTCCAGGCATCACTACACCTCTGGATATTATTCTGGGACATGATGTTCCAGTGGGAGCAGAACCTCAAGTATTTAAACTGGATTGCAAGACCAAGACACCCAGAGAGTCTGCAATTCAGAAGATCCCAGCCTGTGCCTGGAAGCCTGGAAGGGAGTCACCCAGGAAGGGTTGTTTTCCTGGGATCATGAAAGTGCACACAGGCACACAAACACACACACACAAATAAATAAATAAAGGAGATGTAAACTGATTAGTGAAGGGGAAGAAACCCTGGCTGGTAGAAGAAGGGTTTAATTCTCAGGTTGTGGGTCCAAAGTGCTCTCATGGCATCAGTTTATTATTCACAGTGGTGCAAGAAGCAGCAAGGTAAAGCTTAATAATGGATAAATAAACAGTAAATAAAACCTCATCTTTCCCTGCTCAGCATTCAGGAGACTATGGTGAACCCACAGCCTCCCACTAACTCCGGGAGATGACAGATTACTTCCCTCTGAAGCCTGTGTCACCTGCCGCACCTCAGAAAAGCTGATTTCCTTTTTTGCCCTTCCAGAATGACATTAAAAACAAGCTGAGTTTGATCCCAGCCCCTCAGAAAGGATTTTTTTTACCCTGGCAGGCAGGGCACGGTGGAGTCACTGGGGGTCATTCAGTGTGATCAACCACGGCCAAGTCATCCTAAGAACTAAAATGACCCCCCCTAAACCCCACGGGGCACATCTTTAACGGGATGCTGACAGTACATGTGTCCCAGCACTGCCAGGGTTTATTCCAGGGCAGAAGATGTCTGTGCCTTCCCCTGGGCTCTGCTGGGGCGAAATGAAAAGCCTTTTTCCAAACTTTCCTTGCCCTCAGAGCTCGATGGCTCATCCCCCCCTGCTTGGGACCACGTCAGGGACTCCCTGTCCCCGCCGTGCAGGTGATTCACGTTTAAGTGCAGGTTTGGGATGTTTTTGGGGCTGTTGAGCAGCTCACAGGGTTCCAGCAGGGCGACCCTGTGTCACAGCCTGTAATCAGCTGTGTCTGGATGATGTCCCTCCATCAGGAGGAAGCAGAGCTGTGACCTTCTGGCGCATCCAAAGGACGGGGATGGAAGGGCTCTTGGAAGTCGGCTCCCTGCACAAAATTGGTCACTTTTGGGGAAGGGAAGCCCTCTAAGTGGGTCCAGAACCAGAAGGACTTGCTCATGCTGGGCTAATGCGTGTCCCTGTGTCCTCATCAGTAAATCCAGCACTCTCACCCCTGCAGCCCCTCGGTTTTCCTGCCATCGACGAGCCTGCAGGATTTAACCCCCAGTGGATGTTCCTCATGTTCCGTTTACATCCCAGGTCTCACCTCGGGCGCACCAGGGAACCGAATTGGTCGTGCTGAGAGGAAGGTGGGGATGTGCCTGCCCTAAATTCTGCTGAAACACTCTCCTGCCTGGTGGCACAAAGACCTAAAATGTCCTTTGGCCCTAGGAAGGAAGGTAATTAATGCCTGTAGCCCGAATCATTTTAATCTTACTCAGGGAGTATTACATGGAAACAAAACACGACAGATGAAAGAGGGAACTGTTTAATCAGTCAGGGGAGCTTTCCAGGAGAAAACTGCTGGTTGTTGGGAAGTTTCAGGTGGAAAGTATACACACCCGCTCCCCGGGGGGGCCGGGCCACCCTATAAAACTGTGGGGACAGTGCCCGGCCCCACCACTCGCTCCCAGCTGCCACCGCTGCCGTCTCCACCTGGGTAAGTTGAGGCGGGCTCCCTCTCCTCCACACCAGGCTCTTGCCCGGTCCTCTCCAGGAGTTCAGGGTTTGTTACCTGCCTCCCTTCCACCTGCAGAGGGCATCGGGGAAGGGCGTCTCTCTGCCCTAAAACGAGGACTACAAGGGGTTGTGGGATGAAGTGCTTGCACGGTCTGCAACCACGCAGCCAGTTGCATCCTGCGTGATTTTCCTTGCTGAAGGAGAGGAAAAAAAAGAAAAAAATAGAATAGGGCGTGCCCAGGCTGCAAGGGTTGATGTGCCCCTGTTTATGGAAGGGCATTAAAGGGATGGGATGGGATAGCTCAGCTCACGCTGTATTGATTTAAAGTGGGCTTTGCTACAAGTAGATGCATCTTAGTGAGCATCTCGCTTGCTGAAGGCTCTCAGCTTGGAGCGGGAGAGGGTCTGCTCTCTGTTCTCAGCCCCCGGGTGCCTCCAGCTTCCCCAGACCTGCAGCTCAAACCAAACTCCTCCCCTTCTCCCGAGCGGTTTTTGGGGGGAGGGAGGGCGGTGGGGGCGAAGCCGCCTCCTGCCCGCTTGGAAAGCCTTTCTTTGGCGTTTCCAAACCATCCAAACTCACTCCCTGTCTCTCTCTCCCGCACCTCCTACAACGGGAGCCGCTGCGAGAGGGCTCAGCAGGGGCGGTACAAGCCTCTGCCTTGCCTTTCTAACCCGGGCTCCGGCTTTCAGGTGCCCGTCCCCGCCGAGCCATGTCCTGCTACGAGCTGTGCCTGCCCTCCTCCTGCGGCCCCCGGCCGCTGGCCACCAGCTGCAACCAGCCCTGCCTGCGGCGCTGCGGGGACTCCACGGCCATCATCCAGCCGCCCACCGTGGTGGTCACCCTGCCCGGGCCCATCCTCAGCTCGTACCCGCAGAGCACCGCCGTGGGCTCCACGGCGTCGGCGGCCGTGGGGAGCTACCTGCGCTGCTGCGGCATCCCCGTGTGCTCCGGCGGGGCCCGCGGGCTCGGCAAGGCGGCGTTGCTGTGCCTGGGCAGCGGGCTGTAGAGGTGGCCCCCGGCGGTCACCTCTTCGTCCTCCTCCTCCTCCTCCCGCGTCGGGACGGACAAGCGAAGCACAAGGACCGAAGGCTTGGGGAAGAGGACTGAGGAGGTGCCCCTGGGTTTCCCGCAGTTCCCCCAGGAGGAAGAGAGCCCTGCGAGCTTCTAACTCCACACCGTGCCTCTGTAAACCTTTCTCTTGCGAAAGTCTTGCTTTATATTTCCACTGTTCTCCGCAGCATTTGCTGCTGGCTGGGCACAAACACTTGTAGCAGGCTGTAGGTGGCACATAATAATCACGGGGTGGTGGGGAGGAGGAACACCTTTGAGGGATTTGGCTTGCCCTGGAAGGGGGTTTATCCATTTCTTTACTGAGCGCTGGAAACATTTCTTAACACTCTGAACTGATTTACTCTCCTTCTCATTAAAGTCACGCTACATCACAGGCTGAGTCTTCTGGTGTTCCTTGTCCTGGGGTCTCGAGGGATGAATTGCCCTGGGGGCAACTTGTTGCTGGTGGGAAGGGTTCTTTTTTTTTTTTTTTTTGTATGAAATGGGGGTTTCTGCTGCCCAGCTCTTCACCGTGCTGGCAGGAGTGTGTGGTTTGCCACGACCAGCCCGAGGGCAGCTCTCTCAGCCTGGAAACCTCTCCTGCCCCACGGCGAGCACCTGCTTGGAGGCGAGGAATTCCTCAGGAATCACCTCCTGCAGGAGCGGACTTAGTGCCTGTTCTCCTGAGGAGCTGGGAACACGAAGGTTTGACAATTCAAAATGGCATTTGCCCTGCATTTTGCAGTGACTTTTTTTTTTTTTTTAATTTTTTTTTTTTTGCAGAGCTAAGGAGAGTGGAGGTGGGGTCAGGGGAAAAAAGGGAGAAGTAGGAGGTGCTCATTCGGATGGGCATCCTACACCCAGCTCACCTGATGTTTAATGGGTGACAGTGAAGTGACAGGGGGAGAGCTGTAACCCCCTTTATGCAAGACCCAGAAAGGACCACTCTGTACAGGGCTGTCAGGCATCAAGTAAAGCCTCTTTTTGAGATGCCATGTCTCATCAGGCAGAACTTTTTCCACTGATGGAAGGAAGAATAGGAGGATTTGCATAAAGCTGATGAGTGTTTATAGCGAGGAATTATGCCTGGCTCGAAAGCATGTTGATCTTCAAGACCCTTTGACCAACTCAGCTGGTTTTATGGCTTGGGAAATTTTGCAGAAATGCTCCCAATTTGGAGAAAATCTGCATGGCAATTGCTCAGCAGACAAGAGCTCTGGGAGAAGAGAGGTGTGTTTTCACATCCCTCTTCCAAAGGCTGCTCAGGTAGTTTTATCCCAGCTCTGGAAATTGTCTGCAGAGATTGGATTCAAAATTCTGGAAAAAAAAAAAAAAAAGAAAAAAGAGGAAAAGTGTTGGAATTCCATCAAAAGCTTTGATGGGAAGCTGCAAGCCTCTGGGGCTTGTGCATCTGCCTTCCACCAGCCTGCTGCATGGGATGGATGTCCTGGATGGAGCAGCTGGAGAGAATAATGGCATTTTTATGTGCAGTCATTCAGCTTTTCAATGAGTGACTCCACTGGTGAGGTTATACAGATTTTAATTTTTTTTTTCCCTGAAAATCCAGTGTGTCTGAAAATCCACGCAGCTCCTTGGTTTGATTTGACTTGGAAATTGTGATGCTTTAGTGCAGCCAGCTGGGGAAGGGAGGACCTTGGTGCCCTGCAGGGCTCCCTGTTCCAGGGGCTCTGTCTCCCATGGGTGCCTTGACTCCAGCTGGGAGCTGTGCCTGAGTTCACCTTCTATTCCCCCCCTCACCCCTAGCATTTGCCCAGGGCAGGACCACACAGACCTGCTGATCAGGCCCTAAAATACAGGTTCCTGCAGCCAAAGGCCCCGGTGAGAAACAGGGAGGTAGATACTGAGACTGGGCTGGAAAATAACGCTTAGCGGGTGGAAGGGCACACGTGGAGGGAAACAGCTGGGATTTGGCCCCAGCCTTGCCTTCCTTATGGCTTTCAAAAGCAGCAAAAGCAGAAGCATTTCTGAGGAGAGCCTGGAGTGTAGCCCAGGTGCAGCTCTCTGGCCATGCCTGGTGAATTTTATGTCTCCTGCTCTCCTCCCACCTTTCCTCAGTTCCTTCATGACCTCAGAGGACACCCTGCGGTCAATCAGTATCCTCCTGATCCTGAAGGATGGGAATCTCCCCACCCTGGCCATGGATGAGGTGGGAAGGAGGAGGGGAAGTCGTGGTTTGAGGAGGAGCAAGTGGAGAATCACAGGGAGCTGTTATGGAAAAGGGAAGATTGGTGTGAATAGCAGGTGAGTGGTCCCATCCAGAGCGGAGACTTTGTCAGGGGAGGTTTAAGTTGGATCTCAGGGAAAGGTTCTTCCCCCAGAGGATTGTTGGGCGCTGAACAGGCTCCCCAGGGCAGTGGGCACAGTCCCAAGGATGCCAGAGCTCCAGGAGTGTTTGGACAACACTCTCAGGCACATGGTGGGATTCTAGAGGTTGTCCTGTGCTGAGCCAGGAGTTGGACTTGAGGGTCCTCATGGGTCCCTTCCAACTCAGGATGTCCTGTGATTCCATGGAAATCCCAGGCAGCATGGTGCTAGTGATAGGGACAGAAGAGTTGGTGGTGGCTGGGTCATAGATGGGTCACCCCAGCACATCAACCCACGGCTTCTCTGCCACCACACCCAGACGAGAAGATAAAAGTCGTGGTGTCTCACAGCAGTGGGAGAGGACAAAGAGCCAGATCCACCAGCTGTGCCTTTGCTGGGTTGCAAAAGGTGTATCCCAGACCAGCACCCATGCCCTGAGAGGAGGGCAATGCTGGCAGGGTGGGCTGGCATCAACAGGCAGCATCCTCCTTGCTGGGGCAAGCACTGCTGGCCAGAGCACTTGGGGACACACGTCCCGGAGCCAGGCAGGTGAGACACAGAGCCCCTGGAGCTGGGAGCCTGCAGGCACAGCAGGTGGAGATGTCCTGGAACACTCCCAGGACACATCCCTGGGAGTGTTTGAGGACAGGTCATGTGGGGCTTGGAGCAACTTGGCCTAGTGGGAGGTGTCCCTGTCCATGGCAGGGGGTTGGACCGAGATGGTCTTGTAGGTAGATACCTTCTGAACCAAACCACTCTCTTGCTGTGAAATATATCCTTCCTCACCCACCAAAGTCTTGCAATGCGATTTCCCACCAAAACAGAGAGGACAGCTGCTCTTCAGCTTTAGGAAGGGAAGAGAAAGTGTTTGCATGGCCAGGATAAGAGGGAGGTGAAGGCACCACTGAGGACATCCCACCCCAGGCCCCCACGGATCCCGCCATGCCTGGGGAGTCAGACAGGAATAGCTCTGACAAGGGCTCCAGCTCTCCCCCAGGGCTGGAAATCCAATAAAGCAGGAAAATAACAGGCTGCCCACATGTGTGAGTCACGGGGGAAGAAGCAGGCAAATCAAAAGGCACTGGCATCCCGGTCTGGCCCTCCCGGTGCTCCCTGAGGGAACGGGGCTCACCAGGCTTGCACCCCAGTGAGCCGGCAGCCCTGCTGGCTCCATGTCCCACCCTGAGCCCAAATCATCAACAGACACTGCTCCAAGCTGTCCTGCACCCTCTTGCCCTCCGAGCTTTTGCTGTCGATGGCAGCCCCTGGGGAGAGTCAGGGATAAGAGCAGTGAAAGCAGAGCCCAAATCCCAACAGTTTACAGGGGACCTATGAGGAAATTTGAGTTTTAAACTCAAGAATTGTTCAGCCAGACAGTCCAGGGCTGCTAATTCATGTTTCCTGAGAGGTGTCTGCACGTTTCCCAGAGAGGAGGAGGGTGACGTGGCTGCTGTCAGTGCGGGGTGTGCGGGGCTGAAGGACCTGGGTGTCCACAGGGGGATTATGAGATGTGGCAATCACGGGGTGCAGCGTTTCCCCTGCCCCCTTCCCTCAGCCCAGCGAGGCTGTGGCTGAATTTATCCTCCCACGTCACCTCAGTCAGCTCAGGGGGTTTGGATGGAGGGAGTTCCCATCCTGGCACAGCAGCGAAGCGATGCTGGAGCAGAGGGGATGTAGCTCAGCGGGAGAGCGCTTGCTTTGCATGCAAGAGGCCCTGGGATCAACCCCCAGCATCTCCATGTCTTTTTGCTGCCCTCAGACCCCTCCCTGCTGGCTGCGGGGCTGCCACAGCCCCCCCGAACAGCCCTGGGGCTGCCTCCTGGCATGGCTCGTGTGGAAACGCTTCCTCGAGGCTGTGGGTGAGCTGTGGGAAACCTCAACCTCGGCTGTACCCCTAAATCCAAAATGTGGGGGATAGAGGGGCTGGGGATGAAAAAGGAGTGCACTACACCAGCTTGTGGGGTGTAGGGATAGGTTTCTCATTTTTGGGTGCAAGAGATCCCGAGTTCAACCCCTGGATAAGCGCTCCTTTGGATACAACCCATCCTTTGGACACAACCCCTCCTTTTGGGGGCAACCTTTACTTTGGATAAAGCCCCGGCTTTGGAGACAGCCCCTGCTTTCGGGCCAGCCCCTCCTTCGGGGACTCCGCCCCCGCTGCTCTCCGATGACCAGGTGTGGGAGGAGCCGCCCTCATATCCCCCGGCTGCCCCGTGGGGTGGTCCTTCAGCAGACGGGGGTTCTTTTGGCAAGAGTGGGCGTGACTCCTGCAGTGTAACCGAGGACGTGTCCCCTTTCAGGGGTAATCGGGAAGGGGATGTAGCTCAGTGGGAGAGCGCTTGCTTCGCATGTAAGAGGTCCTGGGTTCAATCCCCAGCATCTCCAGGTAGGAATTTTTTCTTTTTTTTTGGGTTTTGCCCCCCCCCCCAGCCCCAACCCAATTCCTCCAGGGGCCAGCGATGATAAGCTCCACTTGTACATCGGGAAGGCTTTCCCGAGGGGGATTCCCCGCACCGTGGCAGTGCTGCCCGCGCGTGGCCGCGATGGCAGCAGGGACCCCTCGCTCTGCCGTCCCCGCTGCCCCGACAGCCCCTTCCCCACCCAGGAGGGGACCAGCCCTGGCCACGGCTG